CTTCTCCCTCTCCCTCTCTTTCCTTTCCCTCTCCTTCTCTCTTTCTCTTTCTCGTTCTTTATCCTTCCTATCTCTCTCCCTTTCCTTATCCTTTTCCCTCTCCCTCTCTCTACTACTCCTCCTCTCTAAATCTTTATCCCTCTCTCTTTCTCTATCTCTATCACGGCTGCTCTTGTGTCGATCCTTATCACGATCTCGCCTATCGTCCTCATCCTCTTCACGGACTCTCGATTTCTTGCCGCTCTTGCCTTCTTCCTCCTCGTCCTCCCTCTCTCCGTCCCTCTTCCTGTAGCTTTTCTCGCTCTTCTCCGTGGATCCTCCTCCGTCTTTCTTCTTGTTCTTCTTCGGATCTTCCTCCTCCACAGCTTTCTCCAAGTACTCGTACTCGTCAAAATCCATTGATAACGTTCGAAGATTTAGCCCTTCAAGGTTTTCGATTCCAACCTTGGTAAGAGGATTTCGTATGTTTGTGGCTCTAGGGTTTTGTCCGGGGTTTCAGTTTAAAAGGAGCTTGGATTTCGATTAGTTTGGTGAATTTGATTCTTGCTTGTTGGTACGGTGGACAGTGGGAAGATAAAAATATTTGCCATCTGCCGTGATACATGTTACGTGGTATTCCACACACGTGGGAAGATATGATTTTGTTTTTTTTCTCTTTTTCTGTATTGGACGGATGCGTCACATCGTTGTCTTCGGATAAAATTTAGGTTCAAATATCAATTTAGTCCCTCAATTTTTAGATTTATATCAAATTTATCCCTTAACCTTAAAAATATTAAAATTATCCTTAAACTATAATTTTTAGTACCATAATAATCCTTAAACTTTGAAAATAATACTAATTTAGTTCTTAAGTTTTGAAGATAAATACTAGTGTAATCCTTAAACTTTGATTATAAGTATTAATTTAGTTTTTCAACTTTAGTTGTATATCAATCTGATTTATTAACTCATAGACATCTTTGGAAAAGAAGGGAAGGAGAGAGAGATTAGTATCAATTTCATTTGATAAATGATAGGGAAGAGAAAATTTTATAATAAAAATTTAAGATTAATGATATATAATAAATTAGTTATTAAATGAGTTGATGTATAGAATATTATTGATTTAAAAAAAATAAAAATATTAATTACTAATTAAAATAAAATTTGTCTTTTAATATTTTAAATGATATGATTTATGTCATATCATTGATTTTAAATTTT